TAGAAAATATATTTATAAAAAGAATTGCCAGTAAACTCCTTTAACTCAATCACATCAAAGGCAGAGGTGTATGGATCTCTGTGAGTTCCAGCCTAAACATGACTACCTAGTGAGTTTCAGGCAGTGAGAAATACATAGTGAGACATATAAGGACAGATAGGTAAGGAAAGTGGTCAATTCATTAAAATAGAGATAATAGTAGACTATAGCCAACCAATAAAATTAAGTACTTTTATTTATAATTATAGGTACTTAGTTTATGATCTCTAATTTCATTGATTTTGATTTGCTCTTTCTTTTCTTTGATAATCTGTGCTAGGGGATCTGTCTATCTTATCAGAGTGTCTCAGATCCCCTGGAACTGGAGTTAGGACAGTTGTTAGCTGCCATGTAGGTGATGGGAATCGAACCTGGGTCCTCTGCAAGAGTAGTCAGTGCTCTTAACTGCTGAGCCATCTCTCCAGCCCCTATTTATTTTCATTTTATGTGTATTAGTGTATTGCCTGCATGTATGTAAGTGCACCCATGTCATGCAATGCCAGAGAAGGTCAGAAGAGGGCGGTAGATCCCCTAGAACTAGAACTACAGACAGTTGGTAGCTGAAATATGGATGCTGGGAATCGAACCCGGGTCTTCTACAAGAACAGCCAGGGCTCTTAACCGCTGAGCCATCTCTCCAGCCCCTATTTTATATCTTTTATATTTTCTCATAGGTATGTGTTGTGTATATTGTGCATATCCCCCCACTATCCTCCCTTTTCTCCCCCTCCCCTCCCCATAGTCTCTCTCTTTAAATTAGAATTCTAAATGTTATTCTGTTCCATTGTCCTGCTTCTCTTTAGATGCCATTATGTGTTTATGTCTACACATCTCTATCCATTGCTTCTTCTGGAACTCAGCCTGTAATTCAGTTCTGACCCTTTTTACCTTTCTTTTTTCTTTTTTCATGTCCATCCTCTTGGCTCTATTCCTGCCTTCTTACATTTTAATTTGACTCTATTTCCTCCTGGACATTTTGTAAGTTAGCCTTCCTCCCCAAAATAATTTTGTCTCTTTCATTTTGTCCCTGAATTCAATTACATCTCTTTTCTTCCTGTTTTTCCATTTCTTTCTTTTGTTCCTGATTTGAGGTGGTTTTCCCTATGGCCGGGTGCTTGGCTATGGATATTTTGTTGTGTGAGATGTTGTACTGCACTTTTACTCTGCTCTGTCCTCATTTGCTTTTTGATGTGTCAACAGTAGTGTTTATCCATGTGTCCCCAGGTCCCCTGCCAGAGCAGGGAACCTACTGGTTTCCCTCTCTCTGGGCATGGTCCTGGAGGGAACCTGCTGGTTTCCCTCTCTCTGGGCAGGGTCCTGGAGGGAAACTGCTGTTTTCCCTCTCTCTGGGCAGGGTCCTGGAGCACTTCAGCAGCCTGGCCAGAGAAGTGAGCCTGGACTATGAGCGTAGCATGAACAAAATCAACTTTGACCAAATCGTCTCTTCCAAGCCCGACACATTCTCCTATGTGACTCTGCCCAAAAAGGAAGAAGAAAGGGTGCCCAGTCAAGGTGAGAGTGTTTGGGCCGTGGCCGCCTACGTGGCTTGCTCCTTCCCGCCTCTCTTCTAGGATTGTCTGTCCTACTTCTCTGGGCCTCATAACCCTGACACTCCCCTTTGCTCACCGCATCCCTGATCTGCGTACCCTTCTTTTGCCCTGCCCAGGGAAGTCTGGTCAGAGGAACAAGAGAAGGGCTCTTAAAAATAAAATCTAATTGTGTGGAACATGCCTTTAATCCCGGATTTGGAATGAAAAGCAGATGAATCTCTGTGAGATCAAGGCTAGCTTGATCTACATAGCGAGTTCCAGGCAAGCTAGAACTACAGGGAGACCCTGTCTCAGAAAAATAAAATGGCCAGGCACGGTGGCGTGTGCCTTTCATCCTAGCACTGGGGAGGCAGAGGCAGGCAAATCGCTGTGATATCAAGGGGCTACAGGGTGACCCTATCTCAAAAATGATTTAAATTAAAATTTAAAATGTGTGCGTGCATGTGTGAGTTATATGTTCCAGTAATCAGTAATGCAGACATTGCCACAAGGTAAATGTTTATCAGGAAAGCCATGGTCAGAAGTGTATCACAGGACCCTGATAGTCAGGCCTCAGGGATACCCAGGCCTTTCTTTCTCCAGTAAGGAGAGTAGAGCTGGCATTGTTACAGCCCCATAGACATGTGGCAGACCAAGTCTCAGAGCAGGACTCCAGGACCCCAAAAGTGCTCCTTGCTTTAATCCATGCTAAGGATATTTCCTGACCCCAGCTTCTAGTGTGTGCTATGCCCAGGATACAAGTTGTGGATGGCAGGCATTCTGGTACCCAACTATTCCTTCCTTGGGACCCCAAGACAGGCTGCAGACCAGCCAGGCTTCATGCAGCTTGAATAGAAGGCAGGAAGAGGGTCCATAGGTGCCACTACTTCGCAAAGGGGCCAGTGACAAGGGAGCCTGGAGGGAACCCTAGAACAAGAGACCCATAGGCCTTGGACTACTCCATCAGGCCAGAGTAAGAAGGAAGAGTTCTGGGAATGATACTGTCTCTTTTGGGAAGGAAGCAGTTTTGTCCCTCCATCAAGCTCCCTGTACATGAGTCCTAACTCTTGGTATGTCCCAAACGGCTCTGCTGCTGATTCTTGCCCTTTCTCTTGTAGGGCTGGTGAGTATCCCTAAGTACCCCTTCCGGGAGCAAAAGGAAGACTTCACCTTTGTGACCCTGCTTACTCGGCCAGAGGTCATCACAGCTCTGAGCAAGGTGCGGGCAGAGTGTAACAAGGTGACCTCCATGTTGCTGTTCCACTCAAGCCTCTCCAAGTACAGCCGCCTAGAGGAATTTGAGCAGATCCAGTCTCAGACCATCTTCCAGGTACCTGGGCATCAGAGTTTGGGGGATGGGGGCACCAGACCCTTAGAGCCAACAGGCACAGGCAGGCCTCAAGACTCTACTAGAGCATGGGGTGAGGCAAGGTTGGGGAAAGAGTGAAGCTCATCTTGCAAGGCAATGGAGAATCAGGGTGGGCTTCCTTTCCAGTCCTTCCAACCAGCCCCGGTTGTCTTAGGGGAGATAAGCAGGAACCCCACCCATCTTGATATCTGAATACCAGGGGGTAAGAGGGCTGGGCTGCAACCTCTCTCCACTCCATTCTGTCTTTCTCTCATTTCTCTGTGTGTCTCTCTGCCTGTCTTGCTCTTGTTTTTTCTCTGCCTCTTTCTCTTCTGTGTGTCTATTTCTCTCAAAGCTGCTTCTGAACCCCATACTCCATGCCTCTCTCTGAGTCGTCCTACACCCCAGCTGTCACATGAGGGTGTTGGCCAGCAAACCTTGGCAGTATATTGTGGGGGAGTTCCCTCCATGGTCGCATGGTAGCTATGGATGGCGGGTCCCTGGGATTGCTTCATGATGACATATCTCCAGGTACAGATACAGGTACATATTTCACATCTCCAGGTACAGATGTTCCTCAAGGACAGCTGGGTCAGCACACTGAAAGTAGCCATGCGCAGCAGCCTACGAGACATGAGCAAGGGCTGGTATAACCTCTATGAGACCAACTGGGAGGTGTATCTCATGTCAAAGCTGCGCAAGCTAATGGAGCTGATCAAGTACGTGCTGCAGGACACACTGCGGTTCCTGGTACAGGACTCGCTGAGCAGCTTCTCACAGTTCATCGGTGACGCCTGTTGCAGTGTACTCGACTGCACTGATGACATGGTCTGGGGTGAAGGCTGCATGAACAGTCCCTACAGGTGGGCCCAGCTGGTCAGAGACAGTTCCTTCTAGCCATCCTCCACTGACTGGGTTGAGCAGCCAGGGCCAGTGTGCCCAACACACTAGGTCCTTGACATTAGGGAGAGACACTAGGTTACTCAGAAGTGTCCCCTCCAGCTCTGTTTGCATTCTGGTGGCCTCATTTACTCAGTCACTCTTTGCATTACTCAATAATACTGAACCCTTGACATGACCTTGAGTTACAGTGCCTGCTGTCATAGGGTGTCAGGCACAGCAAGCCATTAATGAGACACTGCCATTGCCGATTTTGAAAGGGACTGTGATAGACTCTGGGGTGGACCTTTGCTGTAGGGTGAGGTAAGAGGTAGCATCTGAGAACTGAGGACACTAGAGGCATCTGGAGGGACCAAATGGAGGAGAAGCACCAAGGGTAGCAAGAACAGTACAGCTGAGGAAGAACAGGCCGGCAGGTATGGCTCAAGTGTGCAAGGGCAGTAGGTGTGGTCAGGAGGAAACAAGAAGAGGTCAGAGGAAACAGTTTAGATGGCCAAGGGCCTCCTGGGGTCATGATTAGGGCTTGATCTGTTTTCAGTAAGTTAGAAGCCAGCTGGCCACCCACGCAGTGCCCCAGCTGGAGAAGGTATGTGCTGCAGGCTGGGCAGGGCTGGTCCTCCCTCTGTAGTGTTCCCAGGATCTCTGGGCCTAAGGCACAAGTACAGGAATCTTTATGGCTGGCCCCAGTCTTTCTCTCTGGGAACATGGCCGGGGGCAGGGGGTGGTCTGGGAAGAAAGAGGAGAAGTTTGAGGCCACAATGCTGTCAGGAAGGACAGGGCATCCTCAGTCAGCCCAGTTGTTGTCCCACAGACCCCGGAAGAATCCCCTGTTCATCGTAGACTTAGTGCTGGACGGCTCGGGAGTACACTACAGTACACCTCTGGAGCAGTTCGAGATGACTCTAGTCAATCTCTTCGACAAGGGCATCCTGGCCACCCACACAGTGCCCCAGCTGGAGAAGGTATGTGCTGCAGGCTGAGCAGGGCTGGGGCACCTGCTTCCCTGCCTTCTGAGAGCCACAGAACACTGCCAAAAATACCAAAGAAGTTGAACTTTATCACAGGCCTCCCACTGATAGGCAGTGGGCATAGCCCTGAAATTTGTGAATATCTCCTTTAATCCTCACCATAAACTGAATTGCCAGCTATTACCACTGCTGCCTTGTAGACCTGGAGAACTTAAACCATTAGCCTAGCTCATAGAACTGCTTAGTGTCAGGATGTCAGTTTGAATCTTGAACTTGCTAGACTAATCCTGCCACAGCTACAGCTGTCCCATATCCTACCCACTTCATCCCCTCAAGCTCCTGAACCCTTTCCCCATCTCAAGTGTAGACACAGGTAGACATACACACACTAGTGTCCAAGGTCTCTGCAAGTTACCACCACTGAACACAGTCCACTCCTCAGACCTAAGAGCCGATACAACTCACATCCCTTCCTGTCTCTCCTGCTAGTCAGTCAGAGCCATCAGCAGTCTGGTTGTCCCATCTACATTTTTCCTTGGCATTGGGCTGAGTCAGGTCCAGCAGGTAGGACGTGGTCCCTCACAGTAGCTTCTGCAGTTGTGTTATTCCGTAGTCATTTCTAAGACATGTCATGGTAAGCCCTTCCCCCACACCCATGCCATATTAGCTGTGCTTGCCCACATTGCTCCCCATTCAGTCTCTAGAACACACACACACACACACACACACACACACACACACACACACACTTGCTCTGCTCTTTGGGAGGACGCCCCTCATCTCCAACCTTTCTGCCCACCCACTCTACGGCTCATTCAGCTCTGCCACTTTCCTCCCTTCCCTCAAAGCTGGTGATGGAGGACATTTTTATCAGCGGTGACCCCCTGCTGGAGTCAGTGGGGCTTCATGAGCCACTGGTGGAAGAACTACGAGCTAGCATCACCAATGCCATGCGCAAGGCCATGATCCCACTGCAGGCCTATGCTAATGAGTACAGAAAGTACTTGGAGCTGAACAACAACGACATCAGCACCTTCCTCAAGTATGTATGCGCCCATGTTTGTGCATGTGTACGTGTGTGTGCGCTTGTGTGTGTAGCCTGAACGTGTCTATACATGCACCCGTTCCCACCCCACTTACCACCCTCTGCTCCTTGAACACACTGTCCTCAGGGCCTACCAGAATCAGTGCCCGTCAGCAGAGGAGGTACGTGAGGTGGTAGTTACCCACCTGAAGGAGAAAGAGATCCTGGACAACTCCCTGCCCAGCGGCATCATTATTGGGCCATTCTACATCAACATTGACAACATCAAGCAGAGCCTGTCCAAAAAGCACAAAGACCTGGCCACTTCCATGCTGGACATCCTGGCCAAGAACCTACACAAGGAGGTGGACAGTGTAAGCATCTACCCACCTGGTCCCAGTGACCACAGCAACACCGAAGCAGTTTTGGACACATGGCCCACTGGCAAGATGCCCTGGGCAAGGTCATCTAGAGTGTCTTTAGGTGCCTGGGCCAATGAAAGGATCTGGAAGTCACCCTGCCTCAATCCCTGTCTGCAAGCAGGGAGCTTCTCCATATAGTAATAGAATGTTGGTACCTCCATCTGTAGACTTAGAGAGACCTAGGAAGCCCTCATGAGGGATAGCTAAGCTGGACTGTTCCATAGAACTGAGGGCATGCAAAATGCAGATCTCAGAAAGCTTGGGTGTGATGGTGGGCCCAGAAGAGGCTAAGAGAGCAGAGCACACTGAGTGACACCCTAGCCCCCAAGAGACCTCAGCAACCCGGGGAGAGTACTGGTAGCCTCACTCTTAAAAAAGCATGGCAGGGGGTGTTGACATGATGGAACGGTTGCCTGTTGGGAGGCCCTGGGACCTTGAAGGAGAAACAGGCCCCAAGGAAGGCAAGGTACATAGCCCTCCCCACCGCCCTCCATCCACAACCCCCAGATCTGTGAAGAGTTCCGCAGCATCAGCCGAAAGATCTATGAGAAGCCCAACAGCATTGAGGAGCTCGCTGAACTGCGAGACTGGATGAAGGGCATCCCCGAGAAGCTGGTGGTGCTAGAGGTGAGTGTCCGGAGTTTGGTAGAGCCAGAAGTTGGATGGCATATGACAGACCCAGGGCCAGGAGACACAGACTATTGTCCAGAGACTTGGAGCTGGGGCAGGCAGGACCTGGGAGATCAGAGTCATAGAGCGAGGTAAAGCAAGCAACCAGGGACCAGTTGGTGCTGAGGGTTATGGCTGCAGCAGCAGTTTGGAGCTGTGCTGTCTATGAGGTCAGGAGGGCTGAAGGCATGGGTCAGAGAATTGGAACCAGAAGTATGGTGACCATGGTCTCTGGAGCCCTGGGCCTAGCCTCATAATCTGCTGAAGCTTCCCCTCTGGAAAAAAGCACCCTCTCCCAAGCGCCCAGCCGCTTCGGAGAGCCCTGTCCCCGTAACCCCTCCCTAGCACGGCTCATCACTGCCTGCCCCTGCAGGAGCAGATCATGAAGGTCATGTGCGACTATGAGGTCATGGACGAATTCCTTTACAATCTCAACTCAGATGACTTCAATGATAAGTGAGTGGGAGCATTGTTCCCTATACTGGACATTGGGTGGGCAGCAAGAGATGGGGCAGGAAACACTGAGCTGTAGGGCCTATCAAATGTCCCAGCCTTCACAGCTATGAAATCACACCAGAAATGTTCTGCCAAGGTGCCATAAGTCATGGCTCCACACAGGGCCTAGGACCAGGCAGGGTCAAGTGGCCTGTGGGCAGAAAGAAATCATGTGGAAGTAAATTTTCTTAGTCTACAGCTCCTGTTTCTGTCCTATCAATACCCTAACATGCACACGTCCCCTAGACACAGAGTGGTTAAGGAGCAGTTAGAGAAAGTTAAGTTAGCCTGGTGGGCAGCCTTTGGGCCACTAGAAACCCCTCACCCAGTACTGCTTCTTAGATGGGGATATTAGGACCATCAGGGTGATGTCCACCATCCCCAACATACCAGCCTGATAAGGTATCATATGCAGAAGGCACCTTCCTTGGGTTAGCGTCCCTAAGCCAGCTGCAGGTGGAAACTTTAAAACACACTGATACCCTGTGTCAATTAGCAGAGAGAGTTGGTCTGATGTTAGGGAAGCTGGCCTGATGGCTCTGGTTGGTCACAGATGGCATGAGGCTTAGAGATTTGCTTTGCCTCATCTGAGGTTCTTGGGGTTTCAAATGAAACTTGACACCACATTTCTCTCATTTCCCCCTTTGCCCTTGACATTTCATAGACACATTAGAGCTGCATCTCACTGGATGCTGATCACAGTCCCCTGAAGTCAGGGCAGGGGTTGTCTCCCCACAGGTGGCATTAGCTACCTCCTAACTTACTTGGACTTCCCAGTTGCCCAGTCTCAGCTAGGTCCAGCTACCTGGATTCTTTCCTCCCATCCCCACCCCTACCCTGCACATCCCCCAGCTGCCTGGGTATCAGGCCTCAGTGCCTGGTAGGATGTCTCTGCCTGTCCTTTCTATCCCATCATTCAGTTGTGGCGTTTCCCCCAATTCCCATCCCTCTTCTCACCAGATGGGCTGCCAGCAACTGGCCCTCTAAGATCCTTGGGCAGATAGAGAATGTGCAGCAGCAGCATACTGAGGATGAGGAGAAGTTCCACAAAATCCAGCTCATGGACCAAAACAACTTCCAAGAGAAGCTGGAAGGGCTGCAGGTGGGGTTTGGCTGAGGGCGCTGCTAGGACCTGCTCTCCACTACACACATACAGACAATGCTCCTTGCCTGGACCTATGTCTTACATTTAGGAGGTGCCGCATCAGTGTATGATAGATGAGTGTGGACTGATGAATGAAAAAAAAATGGCTAAAAGAATGAACTAACAGGCCAAAGAGATGCCTGAACAGAACATTCCAGAAAACTTAAAAATAGTAGAGCCTAGTGTTCAGGGCTCTCGGTCTGTTCCCCAACCCTGGAAAACTCCTGAACAAAGTTCCCCTAGAGCTGGTATGTGGGATGCACGGGCATCATGGGGCTTGAGCACATCTGACCTTTGCTCCTTGGCCCACAGCTGGTAGTAGCTGGCTTCTCTACCCACGTGGAGATTTCACGAGCACACGAGATTGCCAACGAGGTCCGGCGGGTCAAGAAGCAGCTGAAGGATTGCCAGCAGCTGGCGGCACTCTACAACAACCGCGAGCGAATCTTTGGCTTGCCTGTCACCAATGTAAGCACCTTCCTCTCCTTTCCAGCGCTTGAGGAAGCAGCTTAGATCTGTGGCTACAGCCGAACCCAACTGCTGTATGGGAAGGCTTGGGCATACTGGGGGTGGAGCTGAGCTGGCTAGAGGGTGGACATAACCTTCCTCAGTTCTCAGGACAGAGGAGCCAGTAGCACCAAGCAGGAGGCTTCTGATGGTCAGCCCAGACCTTACTTAAAAGCTCAGCACCCAGTAGCTTGGTTGGTCAGGAAGAGGGGAAGCCAGGACTGAATCCATGGGGTCAGGAGCAGGAATAGTTGTCAGGAACAAGGAAGGAGAGGGGCCAAAGTAGAGATAGCATGGAGAAAACCCAGAACCCCACCCCTACCCTTTGCTCCTGCAGTACGACAAGCTCTCAAGAATGGTGAAGGAATTCCAGCCCTACCTGGACCTCTGGACCACAGCCTCAGACTGGCTGCGCTGGTCTGAGAGCTGGATGAACGACCCCCTGTCAGCCATTGATGCTGAGCAACTGGAGAAGAATGTGGTCGAGTCCTTCAAGACAATGCACAAGTGCGTGAAGCAGTTCAAGGACATCCCAGGTAGCTGAGAGTATTTGCCAGTGGAGCCCACACAGAGGTCATGGCTCAGCAGGGTGTGTGCTTCTCCACCCAGTGCTGGTCAGATAGCATGTCAGCAGACCCATCCGTTCCTGGGACCCAGCCTATCCTCCCTTCCCTCCCTGGATCGACTGCCTTTCATGCCCTTCTGCCTACCCTACAGCCTGCCAGGATGTGGCCCTGGACATCCGAGCCCGCATCGAGGAGTTCAAGCCATACATACCACTGATCCAAGGGCTTCGTAACCCTGGCATGCGGAACCGGCACTGGGAGGTACTGTCCAATGAGATCAACATCAACATCAGGCCCAAGGCCAATCTGACTTTTGCCCGCTGCCTCAAGATGAACCTTCAGGATCATATTGAAAGCATCAGCAAGGTGGCAGAGGTGGCTGGCAAGGAGTATACAATTGAGCAGGTGGGCAGTCAGTCTCCAGAAGGCCCGCCCCACCCCACCCAGGCCATGCTGGACAGCCTGGTCTCTAGTTCTTGCAGTGACAGTCATTTGGGAGGATGACAATCATGGCTCCATCCCTGGGGTCACGATGATGAGGGTGGAGGGAGTGCATTCTACTGAGTTAATTATGCAAATGAAGTGCTTGGCACAGTGCTCACCATTACTATTAGTCCTCAGTTTCCCGTCTCGAGACCCTAGGAAGGAGCTGATAGTATCACTATCACTTAAACAGATGAATACAAGGACTGGGAATGTCACTAGCCTAGATGCCTGAGGCCCTGGGCTTCATCCACCCACATTGCTATAAAAGAGAAAGAAAGAAAGAAAAAGGGGAGAGGGGGAAGGAAGGAAGGAAGGAAGGAAGGAAGGAAGGAAGGAAGGAAGGGAGGGAGGGAGGAAGGAAGGAAGGAAGGAAGGAAGG